GACTACATCTCCACTTTAACCTCAAGGGGCCCAAGGATGTGGGCCACACTCTGGTACCATCTTTGACGTTTGGCTGCCCCTTTCTAGTGGACTCCTTTGAAGAAAAGATGCTGGGGGAAGGGCGTTGGGACGCTATCCTTTCTTGAGCACCTAAATGTTCCAGACATTGTGCTAGGCATATACATTACTTGCTTAATCCGTGCCGAAGTCCAGAGAGTTAGCGGTTATCATACCCATTTTCCATCACATTCATTTCACAGAAGAGGGAGCTGAGAACCAGAGAGATTCATTGACTTACCCGATATCACACAACTAGGAAGTGGCAGAGCTATGATGGGAACCCAGGTCTTAGGGATCCTCTTCACCACAGCAGGCTTCTTCCTCTTCCTTTGTTTTAAATGTGTTTTTATTTATTTCAGAGAGAAGAGGGGAGGAGAGAGGGATAGAAACATCAATGATGAGAGAGAATCACTGATCAGCTGCCTCCTGCACGCCCCCAACTGGGGATCGAGCCCACAGCGTGGGCATGTGCCCTGACTGTGAATCAAACCGTGACATCCTGGTTTGATGTCACGGGTCAGAGCAAGGCTGGGACTTAACCCTATTTGGGAGCTGTCTAGCTGCCCCTTCTGATGAATCCATCTCTCTGAGTCACTTTTTATCACATAACCCTGGTTTTTTTTCATCGCCATTTGGTGCTCAACCACTGAGCCACACTGGGGCGGGCAGTCTTCCTCCTCTTCTGCAGCTGCTCACCTCTACGTGGGTTGAGAGACTTGGGGGAATTCAATTCAATCCAATCAGCAAATAGTTATTGAGCATCTGCTACATACCAGGCAATGAGAGGTGCCAGAAATATAGGAAAGGTGTCTGGCCAGTGTAGCTAGGTGGTTGAGTGTTGACCCATGAACCAGGAGGTCACGGTTCGATTCCCAGTCAGGGCACATGCCCGGGTTGCAGGCTCCATCCCCCATGTGGGCTATGCAGGAAGCAATCGATTCTTTCTCATCATTGATGTTTCTATCTCTCTCTTCCTCTCTGAAATCAATTTAAAAAATATTTTTTTCAAAAGGAAATATTGGAAAGGTTGCTGTCCGCAAGGTTGGGTGGGAAAGATAGGTGTATGGACTAGGAATATCTAACTGCAACACAATGATTTGAATGAGATGGCGTGCAGCAGAAAAAGAAGAGGTACTTTTATTTTCTCTTTCTGAAAGAGTATATAAATATATTATGAGGCCTAGCCGGTTTGGCTCAGTGGATAGAGCGTCGGCCTGCGGACTCAAGGGTCCCGGGTTCGATTCCGGTCAAGGGCATGTACCTTGGTTGCGGGCACATCCCCAGTGGGGGGTGTGCAGGAGGCAGCTGATTGATGTTTCTCTCTCATCAGATGTTTCTAACTCTCTATCCCTCTCCCTTCCTCTCTGTAAAAAAAAAATCAATAAAACATATTTTAAAAATATATATATTATGAACAGTGTACAAAATAAATTGGAATAAAATAAATACCTATTCAACTGCTACCCAAGAAAGAGTATTCCCTACACCTCAGGTGTCCCTTCCATAATTTCTTCCATACCCTAAGAAGTAACCACCATCCTGACTTTTGAGATCATTTCCTTGTTTTTCTTTATAGTTTTAGCACCTCTGTGTGCATCTGTAAACAAAATAGCTCAACTTTGCCTATTTTTGAGGTTTATATAAATGAAATGATATTATATTACTTTTTTGTCTTTATTTTATTTGTGAGATATACCCAAGTTGTTGCATATAACTGTCTTTTTCACCATTGGGTAATATTCAGTTGTGTGGATATCACAATCTACTTATTTATTTTTTAAATTTTTATTACAGTTGACATTTAATATACTAATTTCAGGTATACTACACAGTGATTAGGCATTTATATAACCTAGGAAGCGATCCCCCTCGATAAGTCTAGTACCGCCTGACACCATACATAGTTATTACAATATTATTGACTATATTTCCTATGCTGTACTTTACATCCCGTGACTATTTTGTAACTGCCAAATTGTACTTCTTAATACCTTCATTTCACCCAGTCTCGTAACCCCGCTCCCGTCTGGCAACCCTCAGTTTGTTCTCTGTATCTAAGAGTTTGTTTCTGTTTTATTTGTTTATTTTGTTTTTTACATTCCACATATAAAGGAAATAATATGGTATTTATCTTTCTCTGTCTGATTATTTCACTTAGCATAATACCCTCTAAGTCCATCCATGTTTTCACAAATGGTAAAATTTCATTCTTTTTTATGACTGAGTAATATTCCATTGTATATATGTACCAGATTCTTTTTATCCAATCATGTATCAATGGACACATAGGTTGCTTCCATATCTTGGCTATAGTTATGAAAATAGGAGTGCATATATCTTTCCAAATTAGTGCTTTGGATTTCTTTGGATAAATACCTAGAAGTGGGATGGCTGGGTCATATGGTGGTTCTATTTTTAATTTTTAGAGGAACCTCCATACTGTTTTCCATAGTAGCACAATTTATTTTTTTACTCTATTGTTGGTGGATGTTTGAGTTGTTTTCAGTTTGGGCTATCATAGTGCTGCTAAAAATATTTTTGTACATGTTTCCCAGTCAATACATGCAAGAGGTCGCCAGTTTGATTCCTGGCCATGGCAACATGGGGTGCATACAAGAGGCAATCAATCAATATTTCTCCCTCTCTCTCTCCCTCTTCCTCTCTCTCTAAGAAATCAATAAAAATATATTTTTAAACAAAGGAATTTTGAGGCTACAAATCTAAGAGTCAAAGTGTATATAGAGGTAATCTCAGCTTTATCAGATAAAGCCAAACTTTTTCCCAACATGGTTGTACCAGTTTCTCAGGAAGCAGAACATTCTAACCAGGGGCAGGCATAGAGTCAAGAAAACCCGTATACTTTCTTGCCTAAAACCCTCAGTAGTTTTCCCTTCTTCTTGGAATAAGATCCAAGTCCCTACCGTGACTCCCATGGCCTGTGCCTTGCTCTCTACCTCTGCCATTTTAACTCCTCTTTGCTCTTTGCACTTGCTCTCCCCCCTTTCTGGGATTTTCTTGCACTAGATGTCTCCATGACTTGCTCCCTCACTTTATTTAGGTCTTTGCTAAAATGTCCTTTCTCAGTAACACTTTCCCTGACCATTGGATTTTAGATTGCAATCTCCAGCAACCCCTATCCCCTTCTCAGCTTTGTATTTCTCCTGGGTTCCACTGAGCCTCAGGCAGCTCTCCCAGGGTTGGCCAGGGCTCGACAGATTGTATCTCCCCCAAACCCTTAAGGGCCGTCATACCTGACTATTTGGGAGCTGTCTAGCTGCCCCTTGTGACGAATCCATCTCTCTGAGTCACGTTTTATCACATCACCCTGGTTTTTTTTTCATCACCATTTGCGTGCTCTGAAAAAAGCTAATGTATTTGTTTGTTTACCTATTTGGTTTTTTTTAAAAATAGCCATTTATTTATTTATTTATTTAAAATATCTTTTTATTGATTTCAGAGAGGAAGGGAGAGGGGGAGAGTGATAGAAACCTCAATGCTGAGAGAGAATCACTGATCAGCTGCCTTCTGCACGCTCCCCGCTGGAGATCCAGCCCACAACCTGGGCATGTGCCCTGACCGGGAATGGAACCACCACCTTCTGGTGTCCTGGAGGACACTCCAACCAAGTGAGCCACACCAGCCAGGGCTACCTCTTTGGTTTTAATATCCATCCAGCGCCACCCCTCACTTTTATGGGAGCTCAATGAAAGAGAAAACTTAGCTGTCTTTCCAGGCTGGTTGTCAGTCTCCCAGAGACGGCCAGGCATCCCCACACCTACCCCTGGGACTTGCCCCTTCTGGAAACACCCAGAACCCAGGCATCCCCCCTCTGCTGCCAGCTCCCACCAAGATCCCTGGCTCAGTCTCAGAGCACTGCTGCTGCTGCTGCTGCTGCTTCCCTAGGTCACTTCTGGGGACAGTTTGGGATCCTGAAGCATCTATTCAGGGCTGGAGAGTAATGGGTTGGGGTCCTTACCCAAGCAGGTGTCAGCTGCCTGGAGCTCAAGAAATACTTTTTGATTAAATAAAAGGAAAGAGTTCAGAGACTATAGGACAGTGGTTCTCAACCTTCCTAATGCCGCGACCCTTTAATACAGTTCCTCATGTTGTGGTGACCCCCAACCATAAAATTATTTCCGTTGCTACTTCATAACTGTAATTTTGCTACTGTTATGAATTGTAATGTAAATATCTGATATGCAGGATGTATTTTCATTGTTAAAAATCGAACATAGCCCTAACTGGTTTGGCTCAGTGGATAGAGCGTCGGCCTGCGAACTGAAAGGTCCCAGGTTCGATTCCGGTCAAGTGCATGTACCTTGGTTGCTGGCACATCCCCAGTAGGGGATGTGCAGGAGGCAGCTGATCGATGTTTCTCTCTCATCGATGTTTCTGGCTCTCTATCCCTCTCCCTTCCTCTCTGTAAAAAATCAATAAAATATATATTTAAAAAAACGAACATAATTAAAGCATAGTGATTAATCACAAAAACAATATGTAATTATATATGTGTTTTCTGATGGTCTTAGGCGACCCCTGTGAAAGGGTCGATCAACCCCCAAAGGGGTCGCGGCCCACAGGTTGAGAACCGCTGCTATAGGACCTTGCCAAGTGAAGAAAAGAGAAAAGGCACTCCCAGCTGAAGGAACAGTGTGAGCAAGGACTGAAGGCATGCAAGTGCACGTCCGAGTTGAAGGCCACGTTCTGGTCTGGTGCAGACAGAGGTTTCCAGTGGAGAGGAGCACCACAGGAGAGCATTGCTGGGCAGGCCTGGAAGAAGAGGGCTGATTGGAGAGGTCTGAGCTCCCTGAAGGATCAACAAGGATCAGCAGTGTCTTAGGTTTAATCCTGTACCCCTCCTCCCACACACCGCCACCCGCCCCCACCTCAGTCCGCCCCTCCTACTCTACCCCTGCCCCCACTTCACTCAACCCCCGAGCCTGGCAGATTCTGCAGCTGAATGGACTTCTCTCTGGGCCTACGTTTGGGGCCACGAAACAAGAAGGCCACCCACCAACAACCTCCTGCACCCTCTGGGCATGTCCCACCAGCTGCCTCTCCTTGTCTATCCTGTCCTCCCTCTGCCTGTGCCTGCCCCTGCCCTGCCTGTCCTCCTCCCACCTGCAACTGCACTGCCTACCCCTCCTACGCAGCTACCTGTCCCTCCTGTCCCAGCCTCCCTGGCCCACCCTGCACCTGCTCCTGCCCTGCCTGTCCTCCCTCAACTTGTTACCATAGCTCTGGTGTCCCATGCTCTGATCCTCACTTGGCCTACTGCCATCCCTCACCTTGCCCCATTTACCCTAGTGCCAAGGGCCGAACCGCCTGTCCCAGCTCCTGTTTGGCCTATAGTAACAACTGTGGCTGTGGCAGAGGGCCTGCCTGGGGGCCTCCAGGCTCCATTGGCCACTGCAGCTGCTGCTTCAGGGGACAACGCACCTCTCGCACCTCTCGGTGGCACTGTCTGATAGTCTAGGCGGGCTATTGCCCCCTAAAGAGACTGTCAGTCTTCTGGAGCCCTTCTGGAGCTGCTTCCTCAGGTAGGAGGCAGAAGCTCTGGGTGGAGTAAGAGGGGTCACCTGGACCCCTCACCCAGAAGGTAAAGGCAGCACACTGCTCAGAGCCCCTGGCCTCCCTCCCCCTCAGTCCTGGGGGTGAGAACAGGAATCTGCTTTGAAGTTAGTTTCTGGGCATGTTCCTGCTGGTTCCAGAAACTCTTCTTCTGCAACGTTTGGAATGGAAACTGTTCTCAGAGCCTCCTGCAAGGCCTCTGAAGGTAAGCAAGTTGGCCATCCCCTGCCCCTCCCCACCGCCCCCTGCTCGTCAGCCTCCCCTGGGGACTCTTCTTGGCTCCTCTGAGTTCACGTAGATAAGATAGATTCTTCTTCTTCTAGAGGTGGTAGGGGACCCTCTGCCCAGGGGCCATTTTTTGGCCCTTGAACCTCCACCCATATTTCTAACTGACCCAAGAGTCTCTGGACCCCTTACCTCTCTCATCTTGAGTCAGGCAAAGATGATAGATCAGTGGCTCTTGGACCAGAAGAGGAGGCTGAACAGCAGAGTTTTAGCTACTCCCTCCCCTTGGATATCATGACATCATACATGGTCTTTTGCTTTTAGGAATCTGGTGCTCTCTGCCTGGATGTCTTGTCTTGCAAATCTCTGAGTGCTAGCCCAGCCTCATGACCTTAATCTTCCAGGATTAATCCCATCTGCAACATCTCTGCTCATCTGGTATGGGGTGAGGGAAGCAGGGAACCCTTGACTCAGTTCCCAACAATCCCATCCACACATGGCCAGTCATGAGTCCCCTGTCCCTGGGGAGTCGGACTAGGGGGTTGAAGAAACCACCATGAGGAAGCTGGAAGTGAGAGACTGGGTATCTGCCCGGGACTGGACCCTAAGCAGAGGGCCCCTGAGCCTCCACATTTCTGAATTTCTCTGACCCTAGTCTTTTTCAGTCTTCTCTTTCTCAGTCTCCTTCTCTGGAACCCTTTGTTTTTTTCCTTTACATCTCTGCTTATCCTTCCATTTATCTTTCCTTCTATCTTTCCACATCATTCTTTCCATTTCTGCTTCCTTCTTTCTCTCTATCACTGGGTCATTCTGCCTTCACCTAACTTGTGTCTTGATATGTGTTTTCCCTACTCTCTAGTGCTCTAATTCTCCCTCCCTCTATTTACCCTTTTAATTTTAAATCTACTTAACATATACGTCTTTTTCTTTCCCCCTTCCTGTCTCAATCTTTTTTATTTAAATATATATTTTATTGATTTTTTTACAGAGAGGAAGGGAGAGGGATAGAGAGTTAGAAACATCGATGAGAGAGAAACATCGATCAGCTGCCTCCCGCACACCCCCTACTGGGGATGTGCCCGCAACCAAGGTACATGCCCTTGACTGGAATCGAACCTGGGACCCTTGAGTCTGCAGGCCGACGCTCTATCCACTGAGCCAAACCAGTTAGGGCCCTGTCTCAATCTTTATCTTCATGTCTATTTTCTTCCTTGGTCTTTCAATCCACCTCACATCGCTCTGCTTTTCTGTCTTATTCTGCTATTGGGTACATTTCATTTGTGATCTCTCATTTCTGTTTCCCTTTCTGTCTTTATCTCTCTTCCTGTGTTCTGTGTCTAGCTGTTTCTTCACTTCCTCTCTCTCTCTCTCTCTCTCTCTCTCTCTCTCTCTCTCTCCCTCTCTCTCTCCATCCTGCAGCTGCCAAATCAGTCACATGCCCACCTCATTGCTGTCCAAGGACCAGGACACTAAGCCCTCTAGTATCTGTCTGTCCCCCACACACTCCATGCCCTGAAGTGAGTGAGGGTTAGACACAAGTGCCCCACCCACTATCTAGGCCATCTATCCCTATTCAGCTCTAAGATGAAATTTTTAAAAATATATATTTTATTGATTTTTTTACAGAGAGGAAGGGAGAGGGATAGAGAGTTAGAAACATCGATGAGAGAGAAACATCGACCAGCTGCCTCCTGTACACCCCCCACCCAGGATGCGCCCGCAACCAAGGCACATGCCCCTGACCGGAACCGAACCTGGGACCCCTCAGTCCGCAGGCCAACGCTCCATCCACTGAGCCAAACTGGCTAGGGCGAAATTTTTTTTAAGTGATGCTCCTCCCAACTTCTTTTTCTGAAAATTGGCAATTAAAAAGAAAAAGAATTAAATATTTATGCTGTCTGTCCTGTAAAAACTATATTTCAGGGTAGCCAAATAACTGTAAGTGGTGGAGAAAACTTCTTATTTACGGAAGGATTTCAGCTAATATGGAAGGAATATGGAATCAGAAAAATCAGCATTTGTAACCCTTAATGTAATAATTGATTAAAGCAAGAATCTTCAATGGATAAAACCAAGTATGATGGTTGACGGAGAAATTTACCAAGAAGGAATCAAGCTGTCACCACCTGAGCCTCTGGGTAATCTTAGCATTACTAAAAGGGGTACAACCACACACTGTGCACCCCTGGTGTAATGCAGCCTGAAGTACGCAGCTCCGTCTATGAAGGACTCTTGCCAAGCAAAACACTGAACATGATTTTAACCAAAACTCCATTTAACAGGAAATACTAGGGATAGAAGAACAAATTAAATGACACAATGAGGAAGTCAGAAGACACATCCTGAATGGAGGACATTCTAAAGGATATCTGACCCAGTTTCTTCAACTAGTCAATGACTGGGGGAAGAAGGCGAGAGGTGACATTACAAGACAACTGCCACATGGAACATGAGGACCTTGTTTGGTTCCTGATTTGGACAACCCAATGTAAAAAGACAGTTTCCGGCAGCTGAGGACAGTTAATTATGGACCGGATGTTTATGATGCCAAGGAATCAGTGCTGATTTTGTTAGATGTAAAAATGGCTTTGGGGTCATGTAAAAAAAGGGGGGTTCTTATTTCCTAGAGCTGCATATGGAAGTATGGACTGAAGTGACATTTGATTTTAAATATTTTGGCAAATAAAAAATGACAGCAAGAAAGGAGTAGAAGGAACAAAGTGACAAAATCAACATTGTTGAATTAAGTATATAAAGGCTCACAGAATTATGCTCTCTACCTTTGTGTATGTTTGAGCATTTTTGTAATAAAAGTTTTAAATGATGCTCCTCTGGTAAGCATGGTTCCTAGTAACTCCCAGAGCATCCTCCTCACCTGCCCTGGAAGACTTCCCCTGTGTGACTTCCCACACAGACCCCAGCCCTCCCTGCCCTCTACTGGAAGCGTGTACTAGAGATGGATTGTGCTCACAGGCTGCCCTTTATCCCCTCCAGTCCTCTGCTGGCACATTCCTCATGTTTAGGGCTTTTCCAGCTGTGCTTCACAGCTCTGCAGGGCCAGGAGAACCTTAAAGAACAAACATATTTTGAATAGTTCTTAATACAAACAAAAATAATCCCAAATAATGTAATCTTGCTTTAAGTCTCTCTCTGTCACGTGCTCTGAACAAAATGGCCTCAGTCCTGGAAAACAGAAGGCAAAAAATGTAAGACCATCCTGTCCCATTCCCTGCCTTCATTCAGGATGACCTCCACCCTCAAAGAAAAGACTACCAAGAACTGGGAGACTGGGTATCATGAGTTCAAGGAGCGTCAGTCCAGGACTGTGATGGAGGGCATTTGGGTCAGTCATGCCCTCACTCACTGAATGACCTTAGAGAAATCATGATTTTTTTCACTTATATAACTTGTTTCATACTACAGATTAGAAATTTACACAAAAGTAATACTTTTCTTCTCTTAAATATATATATGTACACCCTATATAATAAAAGCATAGGTGATGTCACACCCTTGTGCAACGCCCTCACGTCATCACAAGATGGCTGCCACAAGATGGCCGGCAGGGGAGGGCCATTGGGGGTGACCAGGCCAGCAGGGAGGGCTGTTGGGTGTGACCAGGCCAGCAGGGAGGGCCATTGGGGGTGACCAGGCTAGCAGGGGAGGGCAGTTGGGGGCAACCAGGCCTGTAGGGGAGGGCAGTTGGGGGAATCAGGCCAATGCTGTGATGTGATCCATGATAGTAAATGCCTTTCAAGTAAGAAACCATCTTTTATTCCTCTTTGTAGCACCAACACCTGGCATAACACCTGAAAGTAGGATCTTAAAATAATTACTTATCCCATATAATAAAGAGGTAATATGCAAATTGACCATCATGCCCTCACACAAGATGGCCACCCCCATGTGGTCACAAGATGGCTGCACACATATCATCACAAGATGGCCACACCCATGTCATCACAAGATGGCCACCACAAGATGGCCAGCAGGGGAGGGAAGTTCTGGGTGATCAGGCCAGTAGGGGAGAGGAGTTGGGGTTACTGGGCCTGCAGGGGAGAGAGGGCAGGCAGTTGGGGGCAACCAGGCCTGTAGGGGAGGGCAGTTGGGGGCAATCAGGCCAGCAGGGGAGCGGTTAGGGGGCGATCAGGCTGGCAGGCAGAAGTGGTTAGGGGCAATCAGGCAGACAGGCAGGCAAATGGTTAGGAGCCAGCAGTCCCAGATTGTGAGAGGGATGTCCGACTGCCGATGCGGGATCAGGCCTAAACCGGCAGTTGGAAATCCCCTATAACAATTTTAGTCTAATCTCTTTCCCTATAAAAAATCAAATTTTCTTACACTATCACCAGTATCATATTAAAAATTCCCATAAAAGAGGGAGTTTCCCCCACCCCTTAGTTTTTGGTTCATGAAGCTGTTTTTCCTATTCACAAATTTTTAAGTCTCACATCTGTTATTCCAAACAACAGAAAAATTGACCTATTAAATCTTACTGAAATGGAAAATTTTGTGCTGTTGAACAATAAGATTCTGAACACTCACCAGTGGTGTTGGTTATACCCAATGCGATAATACTGTAGTATAATAAGGGAATTGGGACACCTCATGAAGGACTTCGTAAGGGCTTTGGGTCATGTAAGAACCTTTATAACCGGCCTCTTCCCTCAGCGCTTTGCCTGCTCCGTGAGAAAAATGATTTTTTGAGTCTTAGTGTTTCTAGATGAATGCATGGGAACCACTACCCCTTCCTACTCTCTAGAAGTTTGCCAGTTAGGGATGAAGGAACTTTGGAGCTTGGATACAAATCTCAACTGTTTCCTATATTATAAGAATTTCTGAGATGTAATCTCAGGCCCTCCCACCCACTATGCTCCAAACTTAATTTTTTATATTTTTGAAGAGAAATTGAGATCAATTTGTTGTTCCACTTTTTAATGCATTCATTGGTTGATTCTTTTTTTTAAATATATTTTTATTGAATTCAGAGAGGAAGGAAGTGGGAGAGAGAAACATCAACGATGAGAGAGAATCATTGATCGGCTGCCTCCTGCACACCCCCCCACTGGGGATGGAGCTCACAACCCAGGCATGTGCCCTTGACCGGGACCCCAGTCCACAGGCCAACGCTCTATCCACTGAGCCAAACCGGCTAAGGCCATTGGTTGATTCTTGTATGTGCCCTGACTAGGAATGAAACTGGCCACCTTTTGGTACATGGGATGATACTCCAACCAGCCTAGTCACACCAGCTAAGGTAGGCCAGCACTTTTTAGGGTAATTACATGGATTAACTTATTCATTTATTCATCAAATATTTATTAAATATTTAAAAATGTACCAGTAACTGTTTTAAGTACTGGAAATACAAGTGAACAAAGCAGATAAAAATCTGCAGGGCAGAGATAGTAAATAAATAAACAAGTAAAAATATATGGTATGCCAGATAGTAAGTGCAATGGAGAAAATGCAGCAAAGGAGAATAGAGTGTTAGCAGGAAAGCAGGTAGATTTCGGTGGTGGAGGTGTTGTTGTTGCTGTTTTAAACAGGATGGCCAAGAAAGGCTCCTCTGATAAAGTGGCATCTGAACAGAGAACTGGAGCACTGAGGGAGGGAACCATGTGGATATCTGGAGAACCAGAACCTTACAGGGCCTAATGTGCAAGGCCCTGGTGACAGCCAGTGTAGACAGAGTAGGAGTAGAGTGTAGAACGGTAGGAGATGAGGTCAGAGAAGTAGCAGCCAACAGGACAGAGGGGTTTGCAGGCCATTATAAAGATTCTGGCTTTTGTGCTTAGTGAAATGGGAAACCATTGAAGGGCCTAGAGATCAAATTATAACCGAAGAGACGTTAAGTAACTTTTCCAAGGTAAGACAGTTTGTTTGTTTAAAAATATTTTTAATTGAAAAAAATATATATTTTTAAATTGATTTCAGAGAAGAAGGGAGAGGGAGAGGGAGATAGAAACCTCAATGATGAGAGAGAATCATTGACCGGCTGCCTCGGCCCCTACTGCTGATCGATCCCGCAACTGGGCACGTGCCCTGGACCAGACTGGAACCCGAGACCCTTCGGTCCGCAGGACCACTCTGTATCCACGGAGCCAGCGGTGGGCAAGGTGACAGGGTTTGCAAGTGACAGGAGGTTAGCGCGCTCCGGGCGCTAACCCTATGCTGCTGCTGACCTCCGGCCTTTTTACTTGGGCACCGCTCTGCTCTGACTTCAGATGAAGAAACTGGGACACCGCGGAGTTACGTGGCTTGCCCGAGGCCAGGCAGCTGGTAAGGGACGGGGTGGGATTGAGCCTAGTCCGTCCGCGGCCGGGAGTCCAAGTCCTTTACACCACACTGCCTCCCGCAGGTGTCTGCCAGACCGACTTCTGGCCTGGACGCCACGACAGCTGACTTCTGGCCTGGACGCCACCACGATGAGAGAAAGAGGACAGAAGACCCGTCCCGGCTTAGGGTGGCCGTGTTCCTCGGGCAGCTCCAGCCGCGGGTTCTCGGGCATTTTCCCGGGCACAGCCGTGCCCTCTGGCCCACGGCGCGGAGAAAGAGAGACTAAATAGGCCTTTACTTCGGGGTGGCCCGCAGGTACCCGGGAGTCTAGGAAGCGGGTTGGGGAGGAGGCAGTGGGCAAGGCGGGACGAAAACGGCGACTTTTCCTGCCTCCCGTCGTCCCCCCGCAGGCGTCGGGGGTTCCGCGGC